TACGTACATATACATACATCAATATCTGACGTCAGCCAAGAAGTTATTTAGCCTTTCTCAAACAAAGCTGCATGTTTAACTAACAAAGAAAGACAAATGATATACGTAATTATAATGCGCCTATGGAAAAATATATTTCTTCACAATGAAATACTTCTATGCAACAAATTCCATTCACTCACCAAACTGTCTACTTATATTATAAACCTCTACATAAATATCTTCATAATTACAGTACAAAATATTTCAAAAAGTTACGTACACAACAAACCTTACAACAACCATATTTCCTTTGATATCACTGTACACGACATCACACCTTTCCTAACTGTTAAGTGAACATAACAAAAAAGGTCTATGATGATGCATACAACTACTATAACTTTAAATGTTTTTCTTTATGCTCAATACACATAACAACACTCCACCCACCGACAGCACTTAAACATTGCCAGCTATTGTCAAGTGGGCTATTGCATCATGGATGCTCTCGTTTAGGTAATTGTACAGTCTTTTGGCTTGCATTATTACAACATTCTTATAGTATCATAGAGGTTCATTACTCCTCCTAAGCAACTGACTGTCCAGGATTTTTTGCAATTGTTTAAAGAAATTGTTAAAAGGGCATTTCTGCCCATTGGCTTTTGATGTAGCTGTCATTTTAAAAGGGTTTAATTTTCTACTTATATGTATTAAATACAGTACTACACCACACACACACACACACACACTACAGCACAGTACATATGACACCATTTTGTTACTGAGTGCCTCCAGAGCTTGTTGCACTTTATTATGGCTATTTCAACTGTTATTCAAAAACTAATTTAATGTTTGAATAAAACTAATGTAAGGATGAAAACATGGCATATACAGTATTAATTATCCTATGTGTATTTGATTGTGAATGTAGGCTTGCAACGCAAAACTAAGGCTATATTGTAAAGTTTTGCTAGTTTAACATGCTATGTACACTGTTGTCATTACAGTACTTCAATTTATTTTTTATATTAAAATGTGAATAGATTTAACAACAAGGAACCATCAACAGATGGTATTGTAACAACAACAGTATTTCAAATGGTTGATGGAGATGGCAGCGAATGGAAGGAACAGAAGGATGTGGATGGTATGAATATTATACTTTCTTGAAATATAAGTAATTTAATTTAAAATTTAACCATCCAAATATAAATTTTTATTTGTATAAGTTATTTTGATAACCACTTTTTAGTTCCTTTGTGACCTTATGTCACATGGAACTAATGTAATGGTTCACATGTAAAATGTGTGAGATGTGACACCAAAAGAGGTCAGTATATTTGTAAACAAATAGGTCCCGAAACGGGGCATAGCGGCAGGTATACATTGTGCTCGATAGTTGCTGGTGGGGATGTTCCTTGTGCCCCTTCCTGGATCCACCCCTGCTCATTTTCCTTGGTTATAATTCTTTAAAGGCTCGAGGTGCTTTGCAAAAAGAATGAAATACTTCTAAAATGCCTGAATTGTTTTACTTTCTTAAAATACAAATAATTTAATTTAAAATTTATTTTTATAAATTATTCAATTTTTTTTTTAAAACCTTTCAATATTTTACAGTTTGTGAACTAACGAAGCAGATACGTGAGCACGCCATCGCAGAAAATCTCGCCAAAAAGCTTAAACAGCCAAAAAGCCAACAAGACACAACTAATTCTGCATCATCTAGTTCTACAGCTGCTTCATCGGTGAATTTGTATTTCTCATAATTTCAAAAATTACTTTAATTAATTTTGTTGATATTCTTTTAAATTTTTAATATGTATTTTTTTTTAGCTCTCTGCTTAATAAAAAAAACATTACCTGAACAACTGGTTTAAATTTTTGCATAAATTTGAACTGATATAGATTAGTCATTCTTGAATGTTTAATACAGAAGCCATCAGAAGCAACCAGAAGTGCAAGCTATACCAGGAAACTCCCAGAAGGAATTCATGAGAAACTTGTTATTAAACTTGCTGTACCTGACACTTTCCATCCTCCTACCATATTTGACCAGCCACATCGAAGATCCAGTTTGCTTCAACGACTTCGTCGAGCCGTATTTGGTCAGCAACTTCAAACAGCAGAGGTACCTAGCAGAAATCCTATTCAACATCACAAGGAAATTTTTATACCAAGTGATGTCACATGCATTTGGGACTATGCCGGTCAACTGACCTATTATATATCTCACAGGGTGAGTAATAAATTCCACTGAAAGAAGCACATCAAGATTATTGTATGTTTTCTTTTGATTTGACATGTGACTTTGGTCGGGGAGGCACAACATATTCAGTATAGATAAGTGAGTAGAAATAATTTCAAAATGTGCATTGAAAATTTTTTTAATGGAAAAGGAGGTGGGGGGATGTTCCTCGTGCCCCTTCTTGGATCCACCCCTGCTCATTTTCCTTGGTTATAATTCTTTAAAGGCACCATTATTTTTTGTACCAGTTAAAACAACTCCATACTTTACATGAGAATTAGTTTGATTATCACAATATTGAATTTATTTAAAAAGCTCCTAAATATCAACTAAATTTTAGGCCTTGACTGGAAGATCACCATCTATATCCCTGCTTCTCAACCTTTTTCAGGGAGGCGACCCACTAAATCCGTGCTAGTATAATTTGATGTCTATGCTATAACAGTTCTCTCCTAATTATTCTGTTATTAAAGATATTTGCACTGTGCAGTCTGCTGCTGTATTGTTAGTCAGCCGCGGCTAACAAAGTGCCTGTGATAATTGTTCAATTTTTTCCAAGCACAGTTCATGAGGCATATTGTCTTTGATCATGTGCAGAATGTTCCATTTTATAATAGGAATATTTTTTGAGACACTCGTTATTTGAAATGTTTAAAGTTTAAATAAAACAATATAATTTAGCGAGGTTGACCGCCTGATTATTAATGATTTACTGAAGCTTGTGTGTGCACCCACCCCCACGCAAAAACGTGCGCACGTCGGGTTTATCTCTTAATTATTGAGTCCTTTGTAGGACTGGTATGTTGAAGTACAGTATCTGACACAATTAAGTTCTTGAAAGCTTTATGGAAGTCCATCAGCTATGTTTTGGCGACCTGACCCATACATTGGGAAGCAGGGCTCTATATGATTCAAATAAAATAATAACCATTATTTTTATGCTTGTCAGAGTACCTGTATATAGTAGTTATTTAAATATCACTTGTTAAGTGACTTAAAACAGTAATAAAATCATTTTCAGTGGTTAGTTTTAACAGTGATGATTTAAATATTTTTAGGTTTTAAATTTTGTCTTTCTTTCCAGTTTTTCTTGACAGATGGATCATCTTACTGTGTCGTGTTTAGTGTGTTAGATGATTTGGATGCTCTAGCAAACCCAAGAGATTTCTTACAAGTAAATACACCACTTAGTCTTCACTGCAGATGTTTAATCTTAATTAGTTTTATTGCATCAATTAATCTCATAGCATTTTGAAATATATGTGACTATTGTTTACATTTTTAGGGACAATTTGAAATGACAAATCTTCAGATGAATGTATTTTGGATGCGGTCAATATACGAACATGCTGTACTACCCTATAGTGGAAGGACACAGAAGTTGATCAATGGCATATCATCACCCACGATTAGTTTAGTTGCCACACATAAAGACAAACTGTTGGGGACTGAGTCAGAAAAGGACAAGTTGGTGAGGCATTGTCTGTTTCATAATGGAATTATAGTATTTGTTTTTTTAATTCTTCAATAAATTTACTTAATGTATTTTCAATTTTGCTCACAGATCACAACCAAGTTCAAAAGAATATTTGATGAAGTCAAGGGAACACCATATGAAAGCCATGTAGATCGCGAGATGTATGTTGTAGATAACACTGTGGCTAAGGATGAAGGGATTGAGAAATTGAAGAAGAATATCGGAGGATATATGAAGGCAACGGCTAAACCTATTCCCACTACCTGGGTGGATTTCCAGTCAAAAGTACAAGACGTTGGAAAAACAAGACTTCATGTTTCCTTAGATGAGGTAATATGCTTCCTTGTAATATTTATAACTCAATAATATTTGATGAATGTGATTAAAATTACACAAGTTAGATCCACAAGTCCAACACTACCCATCACATAAATTCTATTCCTCTTGCTTCCCGATCTGTGATTTGATGAAAATTGATTACTTTAAGTGGTTCCTTTAAAGCCATTCAAATTTATAGTTTTAATTGCTACGCTGCGACCGCTGCATAAACTTGAGGATTGTTTGAAAAAAGATAGTGTGCCATGTGGAAAAAGAAAGTCAGTTGCAACGACTCTTATCAGACGACTTTTTTCAACAGGTTTGTATAAGAATATAATTTGCTGTCTCTTATACACATCTAGATGTGTATAAGAGACAGGCCTACACTGATGCATTTATGGAATAGACTCGACAGTGAGGGAATTCTACAAGAACAGTTGCTACGTCATTTGTGGAGACGTGAGATAGAAAATGATACCAGCAACTTTGAGGTATTCCTTGAACTGCTTAAGATGTTTGGGTTACTGTTTGAGAAACAAAAGGTAAGCTGGTACTTATGGTTTAGCACAAGCAACTCTTTCATAATATATATGTGTGCACACTTTTTGTACAATAATTATTATTTTTATATTCAATTCAATTCAATTTTATTATTCTTCAAATGCCATCAAGGGACAAAATCCACTAAGGATAACATTCACAGATACACACATCAAAAAAATTACGAAATATATACAGTATAAATATAAATATATTTCCAACAATTTGTGGGCAAGGTTAAAAGGAGAATTCGAATAGACAAATGAAATTGTCGGGTGTTGAAAGTGTTTTTGATGAGAATGGAAATTGAAGACGGGTCAAGAGAGAGAGAATAGGCAAGACTCAAGGAGTGTGGAAGAAGAAGAAGAAGCAAAATGGGATATGTGACAAGGAACGGGAAGAAATGAAGAGTGTCGGGAGTGGCGGAGAGACAAATCGTTATTTTATAGGACTTGCACATATCCATTTCAGAAAGATCCAATGAAGGCGCTTTTTTTTTTATTGGATGCAGAATAAATTATTTTTTTTTTTTTTTTTTTTTTATTTCACATCCAACAGCGAGTACACTCGCCACTTACAGCATGAGAATGATGCTTTATAAACTAAGTCTCTTTATGAGGATTAGCAAGTTAGTTTGGTCGTGAGGAAAAGTGCTGCTGTGACAGGAATTGAAGCCAGGACCCTGGGATCAGAAGGCAAGCATCTTAACCACTGCGTTATTCAACTCCACTCCAAAATTATTCACTACCAGTTTTTTTTTTTTCAAATCACTCTCCTCATACCAGTTACCTATTCTTATTCCTGGATGAAAAGATTCAAATGTAAATAAAGTGTCTTGCCAAGGACACAAGCAATCTGAAATGACAAACTCTCTTTCCAAAGCTTTACTGCTGCAGCAACATGCCTTCTGTTTTAAATAGTGGTTCCTTCTGTTACCTGTAATTTCAAATCTTTTTGAGACTCATTATATACCACATCAATGCTCATGTTTTAAAGGGATCTCAACCTGGTAACCGAATGTTCATGGTTCCCACTCGGATGCAAATCAATAAAGAGGGCTTGGAAGTTAAAGAAGACGAGCAGCAAACGGTATCGATATATGTGACTCCTACCGACTTCCTACCAGATGCTGTCTACAATCTGCTGGTGGTTTCGTTTTTAGACTTGATGAATGACAAAGGTAGAAGTAGTGATCATGTGGAATTGTTTCGGAATCGTAGTGACTTTGACTTAGATGATGAGCATGTGGTGAGTCTAGGAGCTGTCAAAATCAAGAACAGGCATGCACTGAAGGTAAGATGCGATGTTAAAGGTTAAGCATAATTATTATTTTAATGTAATAAAACTGTCTGTGTAAAATTATGTTGTAAATAACATAATTAATATATAAGTTATCTATGTTTAATATATAAACAGTTACATTTACATTTATATATAGAGTATACATTTGTATATTTAATGTTATAATACAGGTATTTGTAAGCCTGTACATTGCTTGGTATGTCATGCTATTTTTGTGCCAGTAAAAACATTGTCAGACCAGGCAGCTCAATGTAATTTTATTGCCAAATAAATTGTAAGTTGAAATACACCTAGACCTCTATGTCATCCGGAACAACCCTTAAGCTGGGCAACCAGTGCACCAGGTGGATTTCAGACACAAGCCGTGTGCAAGATCACTTTTAATGACGATCCGTCCACCGACAATTAGCAGATGGCTTTGCATTGCAGCGCTCACAGGGAACGAAGTTGCATTTGTAGTGCAGTCCGTGCCAAGCTTTAGATAGAAATTTGTGTATTTATATTTATTTATTTTATGTGCATCCACAACCTCTTTCCAAAAGCAACCCATTGACTAATAAAATATCCTGTATGTTGTCTTATAAACAGATTGAAATATCACATAGGATAAAAGTTGATGAACATGGCAAAGAAGAACCTCTCGAACCACATCCTAGCATCTGCATGGAGGTAAGCTTCCGTAACCAAATTCTGTTTAACCAATTTTTGTCATTTTTAGTTTGGCGCAGCTGGTGTGGTTCTGTGCAAAAATCAACCAAATGGGGTAGGAGAGTTGCTTATAGTCCCTGATATGGTCAAATGGAACAGCTATTTGGGTCATAGCTTCAGTGTTGTAGGGCATCCAATGTCTTTATAATCAACTTTAGCCTTGTTCGCTGTGAAAAAAAACTCTGGACTATTTTTACTATTTTCCTTTATTTTGACGATCTAAAAATGAAAATGATCACCATTTAGGGGTCTTGGTTGCATTCCTGAAACACCTACAAAATTGACATTGTACACCTTGCAACCATAAAAAATGTTCAGCATAATTTGATTTGATTTTTATCAGGTATTAAGTTACCTTCGTCAGCAATTGAAAACTGTGTATGTTACTACAGAAGGAGTTGGCTATGAATTACGCATCCTTTGTAATGCCTGTGATGCTACGCTGCGACCGCTGCATAAACTTGAGGATTGTTTGAAAAAAGATAGTGTGCCATGTGGAAAAAGAAAGTCAGTTGCAACGACTCGTATCATACGACTTTTTTCAACAGGTTTGTATAAGAATATAATTTGTTTATGAAAATGGTTTATATTTTATATTGGACACAGAACGGTCGCTAAGATAATGATTGATGTTCTGTTGAATAAAGGAAACATTTAAAATTTAAAATAAATAAATAAATAATATTTCATCTATAAAGTAAGTCAGAATTTTCTACAAAGCTACAGGTTTCATTAATTAAAATTAATGTGATTACAACTGTATGTATCAGGGATGGATGCGGTAACAACCGAATATTCAAATTATAATTTGGGGAACACTCTAACATAA